TTAATACAGTATTATTTTTAATACTGTAGGTCAAAAGTAAAATTTCGTGAGGTTTTTTTGTTTGTTTGTTTGTTTGTTTTTTTGCTATAAAAACATTTTGAGCTTCAGGCCAGGAATTCAAGACCAACCTAGGCAACATAGTGAGACCTTGTGCCTACAAAAATAAAAATAAAAAAAATTAGCTGGGAGTGGCGGCATGTGCCTGTAGTCCTACTTACTCAGGAGGCTGAGGCAGGAGGGTTGCTTGAGCCTGGGAGTTCAGTGTTGCAGTAAACTGTGATTGCACCACAGACTCCAGCTTGGGTAACAGCAAGACCCTGTCTCTAAGTAAGTAAATAAGTAAGTAGTATGTTAAACATATGACAATTTACCTACTACCCTGAATTAACAAAGTAATATACTGTATATTTATATTTGATTCTATTTTTAATTTTTAGAAGAAATAATTTTTATAGTTGAACTTTTTTCTCTAGCACTCTCAAGTCCTTTCTGCATTTCGCACAAGCAGCTGTTATTTGTGTTATACTCACTCCTTCCCCTAGGCAGACAGTCCAAAGTAACCTTAAAACTACTTGCATCCAAACATAAAGTTGTCGAGACCTTCAAAAAGCCGCTATTTGTCTCCAGATTCTCCATCTCCATGTGATAGCCATTCCTGCTCTGTGTCTATTGTAATTTTGCCCAGTCATTGATGTTAATTGTCTACAACCTGTGAATTAAATGATAAATTTAACCATTGCTATCAAGCTTTATATACGCCGGTGGAGGAAGAAAATTAATAAATCAGTATTCTAACAATAAGTATAGCAATGACCAAGTAGAAGTGGGGGCTATAGCTTTCTTTCCCCTCTTTCATATTTTTGCCTGATAGAGTAGTACAGATATTCTTAAGTTGTCTGAGACTTTACTAACTCTGTATATATAGGGTTAGGGTCATTTTTTGACAATTTTTGTCACCAGACATGGTAAGGTGGTCCCCTTGGTGTTACTCCTAATGATTTCCTTTTTAAGGTAACCTTATTTCTTCTTGATCGTTCAGGTCATTCGTGGATTTAGTTAGCACTCTGCATGCTGCTTCATGTTTTGCTTTAGTGATATAAAAAATGCAAAATGGCTCCTGTCCCAGGTAGAAATTTCGCTTTCTTATTTCTAAGATCTTCCATCTAACAAAATTCAGGGTCACAAAGATTGAAAGCAAACAATTCCAAAAAAGCTTCTACCGTTGTTCCCAAATGCATGCATTCTGTCTGGTACTTGGTATAGGAAAGTGCCATATATGGTTCAGAGCATGTCCCATACTTCGTTCAGTAGCATTCCACCCTCAGAAAGTGGTGTCCTCTGGCTTGTGCCATAACAGTTACCAGTAAATACCTCACTCCCTTTTTTTTTTTTAAGGTTTAGGTTTGTTGTAGGTGACAAGGCACATAATGAGAACAGTGAATCCCTGTAGGCATCAGCCTTTTGTCTTATTTCTTCACTGTGAAGTGAGGTCCTTGTTGGAAGCAGGGATCTAACTATGGAATTCATTGCCAAAATAAGTCATCAGAATGATGGAGCTCTCAAGGATGGTGACATCATTCTAAATAATAAAAAGATTATTATTGTGTCCACAATGAAAGGGACCTCATTCTACTCTGGGACTATCAGAATCTATCTAGAAGATTTGATTTTTATAAACTAGATATGGGCAATTAAGAATGCATCTAGAAGTCATGACAGGATGTTAGAGAAAACCATGATCTATAAGGATAAGGATAAATTGAAGGAACTGGAGGCATTTAGCCAGGAGAAATGGTAGCTATCTTCAAAGTACTATTCATGTGAGCCCATAAAATATTTAGAATATTTTACCACCCCATAAAATATTTAGAAATAACCTAAACAAAAATTTTAAATAATCTATATGCAGAAAACACTAATCCTTTGTGTAGAGATAGAAAAGAACAGTTGACTAAATTAAGAGAAGGGTTTATTTCTGGATAGGAAGGCTGAATATTATAAAGATCTCATTTATTCCCAGATAAATTTATACTCTAACATAATTCTGCCCAAAATTCCAATAAAATTGTTCTTTTGAACTTGCTTAATTGATCTGAATGTCCATCAGGAAAAATAACAAAAGAACATTTTGGGGGGAATAAAAGAGTAACTCTTGTTCACAATGAAGAAAAATAGGGATTACCTAATGTATTATTAAGATAAATTTATTACTTATTCAGAGAGAAGGGGGGTGGAAGAACTCAGCACTTTATCTCTAAACATCTTAAAATTACTCTTTGATGTAATTTATATTTTTTAATTCATTAAATTTCCACAGTAACTGTAAGAGGTAGGTAGTATTATCAAGCCCATTTTGTAGGTGAGGAAACAGGTGAAAAAAAAAAGAGTAATTTGTTCACAATCACATAGGTAGTAAGGGGCGGCACCAGTGGATTTAAAATTAGTTGGCTGATTGCTTACTGAGTGTGTATTAAGGTACAGGATAAGCTGTTATCACAGAAACTCCAAACTACAGGTAAGGGGCCTACAGCAGGTAGCTGTGCTCTGTGTCTGGTGTCTCTGGCATCCTGCAGTGTGACTTCCATCTCTGGATCCTGTGTAACTGCTGCAGTTGTCATGATCTGCAGTACTTAGGACGTGTGGGGCTTTAATGGAAAAGCCTAGAAGTTGCATGTATTCTCATGTTCATCCTGTAGGCCAAACTTAGTCATATGTCCTTACGTGGCTGTAAGGGAGATTGGAAAATATAGTATATATATGAAAGGGGGATGGGTATGAGGGGACATTTGACGGTTTCTACCATACCATGGATGAAAAACAAGTATATAGAGAAAAGTTCAACCTCAGCAATAATCATATGCGAGCAAATTTAAAGAAGATTCTGTTTACCCCTATTAAGAATTATTTCTTAATGACTGTACATTTGCTGTTGGAGGAAGAGTAAATTGGCACAGACATATTAGAAAACCATTTAGTAGTTAGTATTTTTTTTTTTACTTCAAAAATGGTATAAATTTCATTCTGTAATCAGAGAATTTACCTGAGATGGGTGGCAGTGGAGAATTAAGTATAAACAGGAAAAGCTATATTCGCAGAATTCTTTATGACTGCAAATTTTGACTCAACCTAAATTTTCAACATTAGGGAAAGGGTTGAATACATTTATTCTGTGGTATAACCATAAAAATGTGAAGAATAAGAAATAAAATGAATATTTTTATTACAAATGTAAAGTAAGAAAGCTTAATTCTGAATTATATGTACTATATTCATACAACTTTGTAGACAAATAAGAAACAGGGAACAGCTGGGTGGGGTATACTTTAAAATGTTAATAATAGTTATCTTTGAGTGGTAAGACCTTGTATTTTTTTCTGTTATGTGTTTGCTTAATGTTGAGTATTTATATTCTTGCAATGGAAATATTGTTTTGAAGCTCTGCCATTTAAAGAGAATTAGACTTATTTTCTATGACTCTGGGAACAGAATAAAACCAATAGTAGGGGTTAACAATGACCAGGTTTGGGTTTAATATACAATAAAGTGTTTTTTAGTTAGGGTCATCTGTATATGAAATAGTTTGCTAAAAATTCATCTTCTCAATGAAACCTGCCCCTGCCATCCTATTTAAACTACATTTCTCCTACATTTAAACCCTAATTTTCACTGTATTTCTAATATTTCTCAGCATTTCTAATTTTTTCCATGTCATTTCCACTTTATTAAGATACTAGATAATTTACTCATTTAATATGTTAATTGTTTACTTATCTTTCCCTTTAGAATTCTGCTTCTTCTTGAAGGTAGAGATATATCTCTACTTAGTTCACTCATATATTCCAGGAATCTTGAACACTGTCTGGCACAAGGGATGCATTTAATATTTGTTCAGTGAATTAATGAATGTTTTCTTATTAATTGTTCTGATTTTTACCTCTCTAGGCCAGCCTGTATTGTTGCCATATAAGCCTTCTGGTAGTACGAAGATGTATTATGTTCCACAATTGGGACAAATTCCCTCATTTCTGGATTCCAAATCAGATACCACCGTTGAGAGCTCACATTCAGGTATTATGCAGAAACCATTTTATATTTTGAAATTTTATTTGTGTGTTTTCTTGTTGATTCTGATATGACAAATGAAAGCTCAGTGCTCTTTAACCTTTCAGTGAAATATGGAGTGTTTCATGCCTTGATTTCTGGTTCAGATAGGTGAGTTCTTTGATCAGATATATACATATAAGCATTTAATAAATATTTGATGAAGAAAATTGTATGGACAATTGTTTGGGTTAGTGGACTCTATCTAGGGCAAAGGTTTCCAGGCTTTCTTGGTTCATAGTACCCTTAGTGTTTCAGTGATTGTGTTTTCTCAGCCTTACGAATAATACAACAATTATTTTTTCAAACAGCAACTAAGGTATTAGGACATCAATACTTATTGTTTTGATCTAACAACTTAATGAAACTGTTATTTCTTTTTGGTTTTGGTTGTTGAAAAAATATTTTGTTTATAAATAACCAAAATTACTTACTAATAAGATATGTGCAACTGTTGGGCACTGTACAACTTCCAAAACTTTGAGCTGAGATTGGACACAGCCATTCTCATTCCCTGCTTTTTATTACAGCAACTGCCAAAAATCCAGCTTTGCAAAGACTCAATAGCATTGAAAGCATAGTACAATCTGGTGTTGACACTTTGAACTGCTTTGAGCTAGTAGTTTATGATGTTGAGACTTTGAACTACCTTGAGCTTGAACAGTCAAATATCACTGTTCTTTCCCTGGAATCTTAAATATCCTGCAGCATCTCTGTGAGTTCACTACAGGGGAACCGCAGACTTAGGAAATGAATAGCACCCCATGGAAGAGATAAATAAATGTTTCCTGTGGGGATCTTAAGTTAAGGGTGCCAAGTTGGTGTGGTGTGGGGTTTTGATTGATGGGATAATATTTTGAGTGATCCACTGGAGATGACTTGGTTCACTTTAGACAAATTGTTTTCTTCATCATTTTTCATAAACATATTCATATGTGTGGAAATTACAAAGAGAGGAGAAGTCCCTGGTATTTGGCAGATTTTTTTGTTACTTTTATATGAAAACTAATTTTTAATGGTAGCTGCACTAAAACATCTGAAATAACCTCTCCTAATTTCCCACTATGATGGCACTGAAAAAGAGAACCACAAAAATGCTTACCAAATGTTAGGATTAATTGTTGAATCTATAGCCAGAAATGAAGAAATTTCCACGCCCTACAAGGCTATGATTTTAAAAATACACTTTATGGCTACAGAAAGAAAACAAGCTACCTTAAATGATTCCAGGTAGGAAAATCTTTGATCCCACTTACTCGTAGTTCAGAAGACAGAAGTCTGTAGACATTAGAAATACTTGGTCAGGTGTCTCGATACTTTTTGATGTCTCCAGTGTCCTGCTATCCATTTATATCCCTAATACTATGAGAAAGATTGAATAGTGATGGGTGATGGGAGGAGAAAATAACTCTGGTAGTGCATTATATCCTGAGAAATATTGGCCTTGTTGATAAAGTACTGAATGCATCAGTAAGACAGAAAGAGATCTAGTAGTTATGTACACTTGAGGCTGTAGTTTTTCATGTTCTCCATCTATTCTGAGAGTGAGGAAGTTGGGAATAGAAAACAATTCTTTCTTAGATCAGTAGACTAGTTGAAAGCCTAGGAATTGTTCTTATTCTATTGTCTGTCAATATATTGTACATCATTATATTGTACATCCAAAGATATGAGAGGATCCAATTAGAGTATGGGGCCAAGAACAAGCCATACACCATTGTTAGCAAATATTTGGGCCAAAAAGATTGTTTCTCACTTGAGAATGAGTAAATAATAGAGCCCATAAGATCCTTAAAAAAAAAAAAAAAAAGCAAAAGTACAGGGCAATGGAAACAACCTCCTAAAGAAAGAGATAGATGTTAGACATTTACTTCTTAGGCCCATTAACATTCTTAAGTAGTATATAAAAATTCATTTATATTGGGGACAGTTAGCCCTGTGAAAATAGGCACCATCCCTTTTTTTTTGTAAGCCATTTTATACTTCACCCTGACATTCATTATAGACATTAAATTATTTAAATGTTGATAATCATTGTCAATCAGAGCAAAAAGCCATAATAAGAGAACTGGCTGAGATTTTTTAAGGGGGGGCAGGTAGGGAGTTATAGCAGCAAAAATGGTGGAGTAAAGAACTCCAAAAATTTTCCCCTCTGTAAAAGCAACGAAAAAACCTGACACAACTTTTCAGGAAATGTTTTCAAAATTCTAGAAATTAACCAAAGGCTTGCAGCAACCCAGGGAACATGTATTCAAGAAAAATGGCTGAATTGTGGTAAGAACAATAAGCTTTGGCATTTTAACTTGCCCTAGTTTCATTCCCAGCATTTCAGCTCAGTGATAGCCTTGAAAAATAACAGCTTTCTTTCCCAAGACTGGAGGAAGCAAAACGAAGCTGGATCTCTTTCAAAACTTCGTTCCCAAAGAATTCTCAGTATTTAACCTGTCTGGTGGTTCCATGGAAGATTCCACTCAAAAGGCTTGTCTTTATTTGACCTGACTGGGAGCCATCTAGTGCTAAAAGCCTCTGAGGAAGGAGAGGGAAAGGTATTTGTCACAAGCATTTACAGGGAATTATTTTAATATCATAATGCCTGAGGTAAAGGCTAAAAGTTGAGGAAAACAATAGACTAACTAAAAAACTTAATAGGAAAACCTGAAGATGAGATGTTCATAGATGCTTTGAAAATCTCTGACATATTTCTACGTCTCTAAGGAGACCACATGCATAGGCCTGGGTGTATGCTCAAGAAAGACCGAAATCCCTAGCTCTTATCTCTGGCTGACCTTGCAGCTATGTACACGAAGAAAAAGGAAGGCTAAGGTAGAGTTAACAACTGCCTGAGTCAGTGTTGAAGGCATGTCCCACTGTGCACAGAGCCTTTCAGTGAAAACTGGGAGATTTATTAGTACTAGGTGTTTAAGGAAATCTCTATTCAGACATTAACTGACCACTAAGCCAATTGAGTGGAAACTTCAATGGCCAAACACAACAAAGAATATAGACTTTACAGAATTAGTTAAGAAAAGTTATTAATCAAACAACATAAAGCTACAGCAGCAAACCCTGGGATGGGAATAGAATCTGATTTCCCGAGTTGCCACATTATATTATTTACATGCTAGTTTTCAACAATTTACATGTCCAGTTTTCAACAATTTTCATTAAAATTTTTTTCCTATTATATGGGAGAAAAACAATATGTTACATACACAGAAGAAATAGCAATAAGAAACTGTCCCTGGAGAAACACAGGCACTGCACTTACTTGCCAGAGACTTTAAATTAGCTATTTTAGAATGTGTTAATGAGCTAAAGGAACTCAAGGTCTAAAGAACTAAAGGAAAGTATGAGAACAGTGGCCTTACAAAATAGAGAATATCAATAAAGAGATAGAAATTATAAAAAGAAACCAGATAGTAATTCTGGAGTTAAAAAGTTCAATAACCAAATTAAAAATTTGAGCTCAGTAGCAGATTTGAGTAGGCAGAAGGAAGCAATGAACTTGAAGATCTGTCAATTGAGATTATTCAGTGTGAGAAACAGAAAAAAGAATGAAAAATGAACAGAGTCTAGAATCTCAGTTCTATGGGACACCATCAAGTTGCAAATATACACATAATGGTGATTCCAGAAGGAGAGGAGAAAGATAAAGGGACTGGAAGAGTATTTGAAAAAACAATGGCCAGAAATCTCCCAAATTTGAAGATCGTTGTTAATATGTACATCTGATAAGCTTAAAGAACTCTAAGCAGGATAAACTGAAAAAGATTCACATCTTTTGACACATCATAATCAAACTGTCAAAAGACAAAGAGAATCGTGAAAACATCCAGAGAGGTGACTTACCATGTACAAGACATTCACAATAAGATTAACAGATAATTTCTCATCAAAACCTTGGAGGCCAGAGGCATTGAAATGACATATTCAGGCTGGGTGCAGTGGCTCAAGCCTGTAATCCCAGCACTCTGGAAGGCTGAGGTAGAAGATCACTTGAATCCAGGAGTTCAATACCAGCCTGGGCAGCATAACATGACCCCATCTCTACAAAAAATAAAAAAACATTAGCTGGGCATGGTGGCTCATGCTTATAGTCCCAGCTACTCAGGAGGCTAAGGCAGGAGGATCACTTGAGCCCAGGAGTTGGAGGCTGCAGTGAACTGTGATTGTGCCACTGCACTTTAGCCTGGGCAACAAAGCAAGACTGTCTCTAAAAGCAAAAAAAAAAAAGGGGAAAGAAATGACATATTCAAAGTGCCGGTGGAAAAAAAACCTATCAACCAAGAATTCTATATCTGGGAGGAGAGGGCAAGATGGCTGACTAGTGACATCGGTTGCCAGATTGTCCTAAGAAGAAGAAAAAGTTTCAGGTGGAAAGCCTAGCTTAGGTGGAATACTGAGGGAAAGGTGCCAGAATTTACCCTTATCAGAGATCCCATGGGAAGAAGTTACAGGTGAAAACAAGAAGCAGCAAGATTTTGCAGAGACCAACCCCTGAGGGATTCAGAGTCCATCGAAAAGGGTAGGTGGGAGTGTTTACTACTCCTCCCCTCACACTAGCAGTTTACTAGCTCCTGATCTGTCAGAGAGCCCTGTTGTCCTCATGAATCCAGGCACTGGTGCCATCAGTGAACTGAGAGCTTGAGATCACAGCATTGGGTTGTGGGCCCAAAAAGGGTCATTGCCCTCTACCACAGACCCAAGCTGAGACAGTGGGCACCATATTGCTTGTGCACATGCTGGGTGCCTCTGTCCTGACTGGGAAGTCACAGCTTCTTAGTCTCCTTGTCACTGGATCCTACACAAACATTCCTCAGCATCTGCTTGAACTGTGACAACTACAAAGGAACAGGAAGACATAGGAGAGCAGCAGTGTTCCCAGAGTTCTGACCCGTGGAGGAGACTGCCCCAAGGGGACTGGGAAGTACCATGAATGAATGCTTTTTAGGACAGAGGAAGGCAGA